GAGCCACATGCGGCTTTTTGAATGTGAAGCTGCGGCTTTTTAGTTAAAAAAGTTAAGTAAAAAAGAAAAAAAATCAATTAAAAATCGTTCTGAATTGATTAACGAGAAACCGATGAATAATTAGATTAGTTTCTTTTTTATAGAAAACATTTATTTATGCGACTTATACGAGTACTATTTATTTTGTTGGCAAGAAAAAATTTTGTGGCTCTTGAAAGCTTTGAAATTTTGTAAATTGTAATTTTTGGCTCTTCTGACTGAAAAGGTTGCCGACCCCTGTATTAGAGTATTAATTTTTATTATATTATTATATTGGGATCTCTGGCAGGGGCATGGTGTTGCAATTCGACCTATCTACTCTAATTTTGAATTTAATCACCAGATAGCGTATTCAAGTGCTAGAGATCCCACGTGGCGTAGCAATTCAACCTATCTACTCTAATTTTGAAATTAATCACCAGATAGCGTATTCAAGTGCTAGAGATCCCACGTGGCGTAGCAATTTGACCTATCTACTCTAATTTTGAATTTAGCCACCAGATAGCGTATTCAAGTGTTGGAGAGATCCCACGTGGCGTAACAATTCGACCTATCTACTCTAATTTTGAATTTAGCCACCAGATAGCGTATTCAAGTGTTAGAGATCCCAATAGCATAATAAAAGAAATGATATAACTGTAATAAAAATAATAAATATAAGATTACCAACCCAAAAAAATAAAAAAAAAAAATAATATTATCATGAATCACGTATTCCAAAATTGATTTAAACATAAATTGATTTAAAAAAAAAAAAATTAGAAAGAAAGTGCATAACCTATAATATTATAGTTCGTAAAAAGAAAATAAATACAATTATGTTGAGTTGCACGTAAGAAATTTTATTGACAAGTAATAATCATGAAAAAAAAAAAAATAAATAAATAAAAAACAAAACAAAAAAGAAAGAATGATTTTCACTAATCGTAAGTAGTATATTTTTAAATAAAAGTAATACACACGGATGCAATGACATAATACATACCGATGAAAAAGTAACTTTAATATTATTACATCCATTACTATTAACTCATAATATTATACAATAAAATATGCAGTAAAGTTGAGAAAAATAATGAACAAATAAAATATCTAAAGATCAACGATGAAATACAGTTGCAAATCAATGATAGTTTGAGGTTTTATTCTAACCACAAAAGTGTGGGCGAATTAATTTCCATAGAAAACAATTAACACTAAACTTTATTAAGCGTTGTTAATATTTATTATTATAATATTTATTATTTATTATTATATTTATATTTGTTATTATATTATTAATATTAAATATATATATAT